GTGTATATATTTTTTAGTGACTTCATTTTAGAGTACGAGAGGGTTCTAATTAGCTTTGATTTGTCATTCTTATAAATGATACTACCTCCAATTCTTAATACAAGAGCTGGATTTATATCTAATTTGATCCTAGATATAAGACTCCGATCTACTCTGTATTTTATATTTATCTATTTTTTTAAAGTAGTCCTTATAGTAATTGTATATGCTAAATATTTCATCAAATGGCAGTTTTAGCTAATATAAATTATTAGCGAGGGTATTCTTGGAAAAAAAATACTTATTTATTATAAATACTAACTTAATTAGTTTTCTTAATCTCCTCAAATAGGTCAACTAAGTCTTATATTAAGGATTGAAAGTAGTAATTACGATAAAATTTGATTTTATTTTTATTCGTCTAAAGATTTTTTGTTTTTGGACTAATGTGTTTGAGGAACCAAAACCACTGATTTGAGGGATTAAAATCAAAACGCAGAAATTAAAGATGATACCAACTCTTATAATTACTGTATAGCCTTTCGCTAAAAATAAAAGGGGCCAATAACAGCCCACATTCCCTTATTTTACAGTTTGTTTAATTTGTTTATTAGTCTTCCTTTCCTGATACTTTTAGTTGGTCTAGGTGTACATAAATCATAATTGATAACACATTATAAAAATTAAGAAAAAATGTTAGAAAAATTTGATCAATTGGAACTAGTTGAACCATCTTTCCTTAACTGAATTTTCGGTTCGAATTTAACCAAATTTTTTATATAATTAATTAAGACCATCAAGGCATTAATTTATGTTTCCAACGTGACTTGTATCTATAACAAAATCGAATCTCTTACCAATGTATGATCATAGAGTTTGGAAAACAAGCGCAGAAAAAGTGCATAAAATTTATTTCGGCTTTTTATTGTTTTTTTTTAAAAAAATATGATGTAAAATTAATTTGGGATTGGGAGACAACAGAAAAGAAGGAAGTGAGCAGGGAGGAGCGGAAGCCGGAAGGAAAAAGGCCGCGGAGGTACAGAAGAAACACATGGGATGGGACAGAGAGAGGCCCAGCACCAATGAGTGCTATTTCAATTGGGTAGTCTCTCGTAAAAATCAAGGTTTGAATGTTAACGAGAAAGTGGTTTATATTTAGTATTTAATAATATTTTAAACAGGGTTATTTTGAATATTTGCTTAGCAAAAAAGAAAACTCAAACATTTATTTTAATTTTAAATATAAGATATAATTTTATCTTTTAATTTTATAATTTCTTAAAGTATCCGTATTCATTGCGTATAGTGAATGAAATTTTATGAATAGATAATTACATTACAGGTTATTAAATAAATATTTTTGAAAAATTAACGTTTAATTATCATAAATAACTAATTTACTTAATTTTGTTAATATTTATAAATTAGTTATCTAGATCTTATATTAAAAATCAGATAGAGTAAGGAGGGTATACTCCCTCTGATCTTTAATGTAGAATCTGTATAATTAATTTGCAAATATTAGGAAACTTAGTTAATTATTTGTAAAAGAAATATATTAGTCTTTTTAAGATACCCTCTTTAATAATCACTCATAGTGAAAACTGCTTTTTGATGAAAATGTTCTCACTATGTAAATTTAATATGGATAATTTGAAAAAATAATTATAAATTTAGAAGATGAAATAAACTGAGGTTTTACAAGTAAATCTCGCTGTTATATTAAAAATAAGAATAATTATTATTTTATGAGAATAACCAAAATAAGAAAAGAAAAGTGAGACCATCGCCTCCTATCATTTGTTGTGTTGTCTCAGCATCCACATGCTGCCAAAATCTTCAAGCATATCTCTAGCCTCCTCACAGCATATTCTCCACCCCTTCTTTTCGTGACAAAATGTGCATCACCTTCAATCCCATCTCAACCTCTTGAAGTTGACAATCACAACTTTGCTTTTTCTTTGTTCAATTTTACCAGTTTATAACTTTAATAAAAATTTATGTAAACCCTTCATTATTACCCACATCTCACTTCACTCATATCATATCTTTTTTAATCTGATGCAACGTAAAAAGATATAACAGTGAGTATTTATATTAAAGGTGGGCTCCACCTTTTCGGTCCAAGGGAGACGGAAATTGAGACATTGGGAAAATTAAAAATTAAAAGCCCAAAGCAATGAAACTTCCGATTGGGTATGGGTTATTTATTTGGGCTAGACTTATAAGTCAGACAAGCGGCATGGCCCACTTCTTGGAACTTGAACAATTGCTCATTTTTGGGCCCATTTAGTTTGGGTTGTTGAGCTGGCCCTTGAACCTGTTTGTTTAATTACCATTTCAAATGCAATAATTGTCTAGTGTCTACAAAAGTGCAATAATTACTAATAGGGTTGGATCTAGTGAAATGGGTTTATCCCTCAAGATGTGGTGAACTAAAATTTAAATTTTTCTTAAGAAAAGTATCATATTTAATACCCAACGGGGTCTCAAATAATAATTAAACAAGTACATTATAAAAAGTTTTACATAATTGGTTCAAAGTGGTAGTGTAAGTTACCTTTAAAGCACATTCAAATCCGTGTGAATGTATAAATGTTTTTTTAAAAAATTATTTCTAATTAAATTTAATTGTACTTGAATTTGACTTGATCAAATAGCTATATTTAAAAAAAGGTTTAAGCTGTAATTTTAACAACGAAGTTTACCTTAAGGGACACTGTGTACCTTAAGGTTTACTTGGATATAAAAATATACATGAAGTTGTTAAAATAGGCCATTTGGCACCTCACTATTAACGTCTGTTAGTTTACCGTTAATAGGGCTTATGAAGTTAGTTTTAAGGTACATTTTTAACAATAAAGTTTATATCAAAGGGCAATGTGTATCATAAAGTTGACTTAGATGCAAAAATATATATAAACTTTCTAAAAAGGAAAAAAAAGAAAAAAATTTTATCAACTCTGATAAAACATCTGTTAACTTTACATATCCTTTTGGGTCTCACCAAGTGTTGCATTTTTCTCCATCAATTCCTACTTCCAAGTCCACCCCTATTTTTCTCATCATAGTTAGCACACACTCCCTTCTAAATTACACACTTCTAAGCTTTTTATATGTATTTACCCAAGATGTCATCTTTTCCTTCTAAAATATAAAGTTCATTGCTTGCATCCAAATACTATCATCGGTTCTTAATATAAGACGTGGCTAATTAATTTGAAAATATTAAAGAAATTAAATAAATTACTTTAAAGTATTATATTTATCATTTTTTTACGAATTAATTTCTTTGGCTTATATACTAATATATAATCTAATAATGCATACAAATATTTTAGAGTGATCATATAATATGTGTTATAATTAAGTAATTATTTTATTTCTTTAATTTTTTCAAATTTGTTTATTATACTAAGAAAAGGAGGAAGTAGGAATGAATGGAGAGAAATTTGATATTTAGTGGAACTTAAAAGGGTAAAGTCAACTAATGATTATTATAGAAGTTGATGAATTTTGTTATTTTTTCTCATTTTAGAAAATTTATGTATATTTTTACATCCAAGTAAACTTTATAGTGCCCAGTATCTTTTGACGTGAACTTTGTTATTAAAAATACACCTTAAAACTAATTTCATTGGTTTCACTAACTGTGTACTAATGAACGTTATCAGCGTGATACCAAATGCTCCCTTTTAACAACTTTATATATATTTTTGTACAGAGATAAACTTTATGGTGTCTAATGTCCCTTAAAATAAACCGTCTTGCTAAAATTACACCTTAACCTTGAAAAAAGCCTTTCGCAATACAAGTGCTGCTAACCTGGTATCATGATCTACTATTATGGTTTGTTATGTTTTTTGGATGATAATCCTCCGCTCTGCACATTATCTCTAAGCATATATTTATATTGGTCTGGCTAAGGGTGGTTTGGCATGAAGGAAATGGAGGGAAGGAGAAGGGTGAGGAAGAAAAGTTTTAATAGGCTCGATTTCAAAAATTAAAGAAGTGAGGTTAAAAGTTTTTAATTGATTTTTATTATTATTTTATCTTACATCCTTTCTTTATTAAAATTTTAATACCCCACTTCTCTAATTAACTCATTAAAATTTTTCCTCTACTCCATTTCTCTCATACTACACCAGGTAAGTGACTCCTCGAAAGCTTACTCCTTTGATTTTATTTATAGGGGCATTTTTAATAGACTAGGAAAAATCTTAAATTACATTAACTTTTCTTTAAAACATAATAACATGATAACTTTACCTCTATTAAATATATATACTTGTTGAAAAATAACTATTTACATTTATTTTTGTTAAAGTTTAATGAAGGGAATCAATAAAAATCTTGTCCTACTGCCATAAATAACAGCAGGGGAGTAAAACGTAAAGGATGGATAGGAAGTAACAAAGCGCAATCGTTTGGAAATTTCAACTTCTACATAAATATATTATTTAGTGTTATCAATAAATGCATAGCCAATGCACGTATATAACTTAAGTCTTACGGATATGGAGTGGAGGACACCCAACGAAGGACCAACCCAGCCCTCAGATTGAACGATTGATTAATTTAGTGAATACGACTTTCGCATTTTAGCCCTTCAAATTTTCTCAGTTCGAGGCTATCATACTACCGCCGGATGCACTTGTGTATTTCTAGTTTCATTCTGGCCTCACAAGTAGCCATCTCATCTTTGGAAAATATATCTTCCAACTTTCAGCTGGACCCGGGTCTTCAGTCTTACCAACTCTTTTTCTATCTTTTCTTGTACGTTCAACCCAATTCATGCACACAGAAACTTCCGACAAACATATGCCAGTTCATTTTTATATGAATAAAAAGTAAGTCTATTTTATTTTATTCCTCCCCTGAAATGATCATTCTGGACTTTCTTTCCCCTCTTTCTTAGAGCATATAGATTCTTTTCACATTAGCACTATAAATTGGTCCTCTTTTTTCTGTCCTTCTGTGTCTCGATCTATATATTGATCCGTCTTTACATATTTTTTTAGCAGTAGTTGGTGATAGATTATCATGTCAAAACCCCTGTATTTCATTGCCGCTCTCTCCTTCTTCTGTCTCACGCACAGTATTGTGGAAGTATCTTCTTCTTCAATATGTTCCCACTCTGCTGATTGCGGTAATGGATTTCCCATTCGGTATCCTTTCTGGGTGAACAACAATTCCTCCCAAGAATACTGCGGTTACCCTGACTTTGATCTCAAATGCTCCGATGACGGCCGACCCTTCATTAGTCTTCCAAACGACGCATACTATGTCACAGATATAAACTACCATAATTACACATTAACACTTGTGGACATGGATGTGGTGGACCAACCCTGCCCCAGAGCACGCCACAATGTTAGCTTAGGAAACCTCCCACTGAGTGTTAATAATCAGCTGAATATGAACCTGAGTTTCTACTTCAATTGCAGCGTATCTAATAAAGTCAATAATCTTCCTTCCAACCCCATACGGTGCTTGAAAAATGAAGGATCGAAGCAGTCATATATCGAAACGACGCCGTGGGACACATATGGGCTGAATATAGAATGTGAGGAGAAGGTGGTGGTAGTAGTGGTGAAGCAGGAAGAGATCAGTAGTGATACCTTGGTAACTGGGTTTGGTGAAGCTATGAACAAGGGCTTTGTGCTTGATTGGCGGAGAGCCATGGATTGCTCTGAGTGTGAGATGTCTGGAGGACTTTGTGGGCAAAATCCAACCAATAATCAGACGCTATGCTTTTGCGGGGATGGCAGTTTCGCAACCAAAAGCTGCAGCAAAGGTAACTTCTCTTTCTTGTAATTGATCCCATCTGCATCTCATATCTTTCTCTCTCTCTAATTTCCCATTAGTCTCTTTGCACATAAATGAAGTGCGAGGCTTAAATTTCATATTCATAAGCAATTTATAGCAAGTAGTTTTCAGCAGTCTGTTGTTGATTTCACGGAGAATTTAGACCGTCATATCCTTGGTCTTTGATTTGAATAATCTCTTTCTCTCTCTCTTGCTCTCTTGTTGTTGTTGCATGCATGAATGAAATCTTCCATTAATTTGCATGCACATGGAATGAAAGGTAAATTATTACTCCTATTTATTCTGACATGGTTTGCCTTGTGAAAACTGGGGTAGTAGTTACGTGTAGATGATGAAGCGGTTTTGATGAAACTGTGCCTTAACATATAGGAAGCTCAAATTTCAAACTGACTAATGACTGGTACTATCGTAAGATTGAGTTTTCTAATTGGGACCACTCTGTGGCTAAGTTGTGTTCTGTAGTCTTGCCTGATCTCACGCGGCAGAGGAATTCTTTGACATGTGGAACCCAATTATTGACCTAATACATGTGAAAGCCCAAAACACTGAGGCCCAAATAGAAACGACATAGCCCAATCGAGACCCTATTGAAAAGAAACAAAAAAAACGAAGGAATTGTTGGTGAGAAAAGAGCCATATTTTGATATTTTTAAAAAGACGACTAATAGATAAATGGGCAATTAGATGCCTTGACTATTGACCATATAACTAATAAATAAGGAATATATAATGGTCAGCAGTTTGAAATGACATTTGACGGACCGCCTGTATATAAAACTCGTTTTGTTTAATGTCTACCAACAAATGACACAGTATTTTATGTGGGAGATAATTGTTTCAAAATAATTAGCAACAGAGAGAACCCTTCATCTCTTCCATCAACCTTCGTCTTAAAATCACCCCTCATGCTCTTTTATTATTATTATTATTTGGTCATACGCCGTAATGTTATATAAAAGTCCAGTCTTATATATGGAATGGTCTAAGGTTCCACGTTTTCTGCGTCATTCATAATATTCGTATTAATCCAAACCAGTAGGTGTGAAGCTAATGGATATATGAGCCGTCTCCAATTCGTGTGCCCTTCAAGGAGTCAGAGCCATCTAGATTGAGCCTCATGAGGCCAATTACATGCAGGGTTTATAGTTTGACTTTGATTTAATTATATTTTCGTCATCGCTATTGGCCATTCAAACACAGAGCTCCGTTGCAATCATGCCGTACATGGGTCCTCCTAATTGTCTTCTTCCCTCTCAACTCCTAGTCTTCAAGACCTTCCTCTTCTTCATTCTCTTGTTCCCAGAATATTTCGCCATTGCTGATGAACGGTTCTTAGATTGCGAGCCGTTTAACTGCGGAAACTTCACCAACCTTAGTTATCCATTCTGGTTCGATTCACGGCCTGAGTATTGTGGGCATCCAAGCTTCAAGCTGGATTGTGAAGGAGACAATGTTACTATGAACATCGCGTCCCAGAATTTTCATGTCATCGATGTCAATTCAACCACAAGAACTCTCAAAATAACAAGGATGGATTTGTGGGGCACCGACTGTCCGAACGAATTCAACAACATCACGTTGGGTTATGCTTTCTTCAACTACACTTCCAGTAATGTAAACTCTACCATATTATATGACTGTGAATTTTTAGACTACACGCCTCCTCCTGTGAATCTATCGACTAACATGACATTTGACTGCCCCGTAAGTGGAAATCCTCGCAAAGCATACTTTATGCTGATCAGCGACAGATGGTTTAATTGGAGTGCTCTGGGATGCGGAATTAGTATTACAGTTCCCATTCTTGGGGAGGCAGCGAGAAGTTTCATGGAAAATCCTGTAGATCCTAGTCATATTATAGGTCAAGGTTTTGAGGTTATATGGGAACTGACCGAAGAAGGGCAGTGTGAAGATTGCAGAATTTCAGGTGGGAGATGTGGGTACGATCTAAGTTTTGGTAGATTCACATGTTTATGTCCTAATCAAAGCTATGAACAACATGGGTTTTGTTTTGCTGATGACCCAGTAGAGGCACCAACACCAGAACCCTTGTTGCAGCCACAACAGAGTATGTTTTCTACTTCTCAGCTTCACAAAATGATGGTCCTAATTTGTTTTGGATGGTAGCGTTTGATTTTCTTAAACAGGTTAGTTGGCTTTCTCCTTTCACAGATTAATTGAATTGGTTGGTTTAGCATATTATAATATGCAGAATAGGACATTTAGGAAAAATAAATTAAGGAAGAAGAGGCAGCTGTGTTAAATAATTATTGGGCATCACGTTTTAGGAAGCCCAAAATATGAACTTGATATCTTCACGAGAGTGTTGTTACTGTGTTTTCATTAGTAGAGCTGCTAGTTCAAATTTGATCTCATGGTCTAGCTCATTTACGCTCGCTAAATCTTAGGAATGAGATTGAATAAATAAAGATTTTAATCTAATCGAGCTAATTTTGTGCTATGGGAAGAGTATTGTGTTTGTGTTATGATGAAAATGACGAAAGAGATGAGATTCACTGATTCAATATGGTTTAATAATTTGGTATAGGTCTAGCAAAATGTATTATGCAGAGTAGGACGTACATTTAGGAAAGAACTGAACTAAGCAACAAAGTTACAAAGCATCGAAAGTAGAAAAAGTAGGAAACTCCATTAGGTTCTGTCTCCTCTCCTCATCCTCTGTTTTCTTGTGACTGTCACAATAAGTGGTTATCGAAAACACCACTAGACACTCTTATTCTCTAACGTAAGGAATCCCCATAATCGCATGCTTCCATGCACACTCTGCAACTCCTTCTTCTTCTTCTTCTACCTCTTGTTAACACCGGCTCTGCCATAATCCCTGAGTCCAAAAGATGATCACAAATATCGTACCCCTTCCGGGAAGGGAACCGATTCCATTATTGTGGGAGAGATGGTTTCGAAATCACGTGCCTGTCTCCTAACATGGCTTCCATTCAAATTGGCTCCCAAAACTTCAGCTTGATCAATTTCGATCCCTCTCATTATATCGTCAAATGGTGCAAACGGACGCCCCAAACTACGACAATTGTTCTTTCCGCTTCACCAACACTTCTTTGGACCCCACTCTGTTTCCTTTCGACCCAACCGTTGTGACCATGACCATATTCTATGACTGTGGCCCTGGGTGTTCCATCGGCCGGAACAACACCTCGTGCAGAGATGATACAAAAAAGCAAGATTTCTTTTTGGAATTTCTGTTGCATCGATTGCTAGTATACTAGTACTACACAGTGAGGTTCACCTTCATGTGTTTCATCCTTATGGCTTCTTTCTCTGTTCCTTCTGTTAGGCCCTGTAGTTGCTCTGCGACATGCAAATCCGTGTTCTATTCTTGTCATAGAATTTTTTGGTTTGTTACATCTTTAGAAAAACTCAGTACCCTCAATGAACAAGAGCTGATGGTGTCACTAAGGAGACTCTGAGGCATTCATGATTCATTCTTAGGAATTTAGATTTTTCTTTATGTTATTTCAGTTCATTCACTTTCACCTTGTTAATTAAGCGTTTAGCTTGTTCGCTGGGAACATTTGCTAGTTGAAAAGTCTTAACATAATTAAAAGCTATTAGTTCAATAAATACCCCATCCACGATGGAACAAATCAAGGGCTTGGTCACCCTGTTCGCTTGTATATGATTGGTCTTCTACAGTACCCAGCTCAGTTGCCGGTTGGGTTTTGATTTACCAGTAATCCAACTTTTCCTACAACCAACCTTAAAACCTTTGAACAGGGAAAAGGGGCAAGTTTGTAACAGGTAAAATAGAAATATGAAATCACACGTTTAGGAAAGACAGTGCTTAATCTTCATTTACAACTGAAATTTTCCCTAATGTGATTATACTTAAATAGTGACTCCTTATTAAATTATAAAATATTACTCCTTCCGTTCCTTATTATAAGAGACATTTGATGCTTATAGCATGTTCCTAAATATAAGAGACACTTAAAAGTTGTCTTTACTTTTTTGTGTTGATTTCCTATTTTACCCATATTTATTGTCTCCAACTCACACTCTTTCTCCTTCCCACTTCTCTTTCTTTTAAGAATTTACTATTGTTCTCTCTCATGCTCTCTCTCCTTATTAATGAGGGTATTTTTGGAAAAAAAAATTATACTTTTTACACATTCATTGTTCTTAACTAATTTTAACTGTTTTTTTTATCAACGTAATTCGGTTATTCGTCTCTTATAATAAAGAACGGAGGGAGTACAATTTTATCGGTATAAAAATATTATTAATACTATCGGTATACATAAGTTATAAGACTTTAATAGTATCGTTTCAGTATTAAGATTGGTTTTAGTGAATCAATAGCCCCAAATACAAAGTGATTTAGAGATACTTTGAATTATACCTGAAAAAAAAAAGATTGTTGTTAGTAGAGTAATGAGAGTTAACTAGGGGGGCATTAAAATAGTCTGAAAATGGCGAGGGGAAGGATTTGCATTGGGTGCTCATCAGTTTTGATGAGCACCCAATGCTCATCAGATCTGGACCATCTAAATATGATTTGGACGGTTCAGATTTAATTTTAATTTAATTTTAATTTTAATTTTTTTAAAATAATTATTTTAATAGGTATAGAATAAAAAAATAAAAATAATCTTTTAACTATCATTCTTTAAAAACTAGTTGGCTTGTGCTGCGATGATTGCATATTATTAGTTTAGACTTTAGAGACGCCTTTATTCAATTTGACTGCCTTCAGTAAGATAAAGGGAATAAACGCCCCAACGGCTTGTTTCCACTTCCGGTGAAACTCAATTAATTGGTAATTAGACAGCTGAATCACAGCCGGAACCTATCTTCTGACCAGGTACGATGAACCCATCTTCTCGTGCGATTATGCTTTTAGTTTTCACGGGGACGATCAAGTTTGATATTTCCAGCATCCTTTGTTCTTGTTGAGGTCTTCCTGTAATCCTCCATCGCTCCTTTTCTTTCGCCAGAGAATGGCCGTACTTTTGCAGCCGGTGGGGCCGTCGCGGCAGGTCAGAGATTTATGAAAATTAAAATGATAGTGTTCCATAAAAAAAATTAAAATAATACCTGGAATACTGTTTAAAACTTTCATAACATGGTGTTTTTTTGTTTTTGGGAGGAGGTGAAGATTAATATAGTTGCTTTCTGTCTGGGGAAAAAAATAGTTGCTTTCTGAACTATTATTGTTTTAAAATTTAAATTATTAATTTTCTTAGATATTATAGCGGTATGGGAGACTTTTAATTTTTAAAAATATTCATATCATGTTAATATATTTTATAAATCGGCAATAATAATTATCATTTTAAAACTATTTTTCTATATAAATATAAATCTCATTTTTATCGGATGTTTATTTTGGGGAATAAATTCTTACTAAGCCGGAGTTTTGATTTGAAAGGCCCTGTTTCTACCTTTGATTTGAACGGGTCAAGGAACGTACATCCCGCGTTCTCTTTACTTTGTTGGGATTCTATCTATTCTCTCTTCTTTTGTGCGTTTTAAACTTTTAATACGTTTCTAATAATTTTTGTTCCACATTCATACTTGAGTTTGAATATTAATTGTCAGATGGCATCTGCCACGAACATGTTTCTTCACCATGTTGTGCATAAATTATGGACAAATTTTCTTGATAAATGTCCAAGTCAACTTCAACTCTTGCCCAGCAGAATTGAAGTAGGATTTGCCGTGTCTGTGTGGGCCAGAAGCTAGTACTCCATCCAACCATTTATGAGAAGCTAATTAAGTGTCATTGTCAATAAAATAGCTTTAAGACGTCTATTAAAAGTAAAGAAAATGACTTCCCAGGCAAGATTACTGAACGAGGGCAATTATTATTCCGGAAACTACCTAATCTTGAGGGTATTTTGGAGATTTTAGATGTCAACGAAGTAGTGGCCTTGACTTGCAAGTCATGGAATTCCATATTTCCAGTCTGGCACGTCTTCCTTATCTTGCACCTCATAGCCAGATATTTAACTCAAGTGGGAGGTAGAGTGGGGCCATTTAGGTGTTGCCCCGCAGTAGTGTCATTGTGATGCCACCATTACTGATTGGCGCTTTTACTTTCCTTGGCGCCATGAAGTTTGATATTTACAGCCTCCTTTGTTCTCGTTGAGGCCTTCCAGTAATCCTCCATGGCACCTTATCTTTCCTCCGGAGCATGGCCGTACTTTTAAAATAATTCTTTCCCACTAAAAAAAGAAGAAGCATTTAAAATTTTCAAAAAAAATATAACTTTTTGGAAGAGGTGAAAATTAATAATTTTTTAGATATAATAAAAGTACTGAAGACTTTTCATTTTTAAAAAAATGAATAATAATTTGTAAAGGTGTTCGTTAAAATTTTATCATTTGTCAATAATAATTTTATTTTTTAATAAAAATTATAATTTTAAAATAATTATCTTTCCATAGCAATCCTAAAACTCATTATTCTCGAAAGTTTATTCCATAAAGAGTGTTATTTTGCATTTCCACTAATAAATATCTGATGCCACATATTGATTTGCATTGCGAAGCTTGAGTTTTAATATGAAAAGGCTTTGTGTCTGCAGTACCGCTCAAGTAATGAGCACCCAAATTTAATTTGGATGGTTTAAATTTAAATTTTTTAATTAATTTTTTAAAAATAAAAAATCAATTTTTTGGGGAAAAAATAGCATGAAAGCGTCAACGACAAGGAAATGACTTTTCCAGTCAAGATTACTGAATGAGGGCAATTTTATTGGTCTTGAAATTACTTAATCTTGAGGCTTGTTTTGGAGATTAGAGATGTCAACGAAGTACTTGCATTGACTCGCAGGTCGCAAGTATAGCCAACTTGTCAACTTAACTTGGAGGTACAGTGCGGCCATCAAAAGAAACAATACAGGGGATGATAGTCGTAACACTTTTACTGTTTCTTTTCCGTATAATCTAAATGCAACCGCATCAGATGGAGCCTTACAACTGAAATTTTAAAGATGGGGTTTACTTTGAATCGGATTGCACCTGAACTTGGTTTTCACTACTGTGTTAAAAGCTGCGAACGCTGTGGTTTTGATAAATATAAACTCTGCTGCTTCTATAAGGAGAAAACTCATCTCAAAAGTTAGTGGTAATGTTAATGCATTCATCTGCATTTCATAATTTCCCATTGCTAAGTCGGATAACTTTTTATATTCGTATCCTTTGTTCTGTTCTTTCTTCATATACAGGTTCTAATACGTCTCTAACATCACTTTGCTTTCTCTGAGTATAATAGCCAGAACAGGAGGACGTGCATTAAGAAATAAACTCATTATAGGTGATAGATCTTCTCTTAGTTCTTTTCTTAACTTACTTTATAGTAGTTCCTTTTGACAAGTATATTAACTGAAAGCCATTACCACTCTGCATTTCAGTTGGTGTTACTGCTGTAGTCGTTAGTGGAGCAATAGGACTGCTGCTTTCTTGTAAGATCAAATCACGGAGGCGAATAATTGGATTATGCAAGACATCTCAGGATGAACAAAATATTGAGGCCTTCATTAGAAATCACGGTTCTCTAGCTCTTACAAGATATAAATTTGCAGATGTCAAGAAAATGACCAACTCTTTCAAAGATAAATTGGGACAAGGTGGTTATGGTTCTGTATACAAAGGAAAACTCCTCAATGGCCACCCTGTTGCTGTAAAGTTATTGAAGGCATCAAAAGAGAACGGGGAAGAGTTTATCAATGAGGTTGCCAGCAGCAGTCGGACTTCCCATGTAAATGTTGTTACACTTCTTGGGTTTTGTTTTGAAGGCAAACAGAAGGCTCTCATATATGAATTTATGTGCAATGGATCTCTTGACAAGTTCATTCACAACAATGCAGATAAGAATAGTCTATGCCTGACTTGGGAAAATTTGTACCAAATTGCAATTGGGATAGCTCGAGGACTTGAGTATTTGCACAGAGGATGCAACACTCGAATTCTACATTTTGATATAAAGCCACATAACATCCTTTTAGATGAAAATTTTTGTCCCAAGATCTCAGATTTTGGTCTTGCTAAGCTTTGTCCTAAAAAAGAAAGCATCATTTCAATTTCAGAAGCCAGAGGAACAATAGGATATCTTGCTCCAGAAGTTTGGAATAGAAATATAGGTGGAGTTTCGTATAAGTCTGATGTTTATAGCTATGGGATGATGCTATTAGATATGGTTGGAGGGAGAAAGAACATGAATGTTGAAACCAATTGTTCAACTAAAAAATATTTCCCAAATTATATTTATGTTCAACTTGAGCAAGACAGTAATTTGGGATGTAATGGAGCCAGTAACGCAGAGGAACATGATATTGCAAAGAGAATGACCATTGTGGGTTTGTGGTGCATCCAAACATTTCCAAGTCAAAGACCTACAATGAGTAGGGTGATTGAAATGTTGGAAAGAAAATTTGAGCCATTGGAAATGCCACCAAAACCTGTCATGCCTTCCCCTCCAAGATTAGAACTAGAATCTTCTACCATTGCTACTACCACAACAGAGATTTTGGGTTTTCAAAGCTCTTCCCACATGCTGCTGGAGGAACATTAGGATTTAGAAATGTGGAAGAAATGCAGGTGGGGTCTCAGCATGGTATTTGCAGTTATCAAATGTCATTGCTAAATTGTTTCTTTTTTGGTGGGGAGGGGTATCAAGGATTGTGAAGCTGAGGGCTCTAAGACCAGTGAGCTATTCTTAGCATGTTACATTTTTAGACTTGCCAATAACTCTTTAATTATGATTTGAGCTTATCCATTTGTTAACGAATATTTTGATTGTTCATTGATTTCTCAAAGCTACACAGCTTCTCCGTCATCATAGAGATTAGAAAAATGGATAGGCTGGGCTGCGTAAGGAGTCAAAATGGGCATGTTACTTTGAAAATTGGCAAGTAGCCTCCGAAATTGTTTGACCGCTGAAATCTTGTCATTGTTTAATGTGACAACCGTTTTTTCAAAATCCATTCAAATTAAATTTTTCAATTTATTCGAAAGATTAACCATGATAAAAAAGAAGAAACCTTAAAATTTTAAAATCACTATAATGGTTAAAAGAAATAAACTTATATCATGAGCAACTTTGAATATTAACTTGGGCATTGGACTTCTAAAGTTCAGAAATATCATTAAACCCTTAGCTTAAACCAACTCATATATTCAAGCGTATGAACTGACAAATCACTTTAATATAAGCTATGGAGTCCATTAGTCAAAAGTCAACACTTTCAAAAGAGCGTAGCACACAAAGTCTTAAAGACCTTTGGCCTTTTAACGGTCTCCCCATGTCAGTTAGTCGTAATTAAAAGTATTAGTTTATAATATTAGAATAGATGAACCATATGTGGCAATATATAACAAATCAGCATATGGAACAAAAGTCAAGAGGCTATACAAGCTATAACAGCACACTATACCTTTGGAGCTTTCTCTGATGAGCCACTACCTGAACGATCACCTGAAGATAGTAAAAACCACGGGGTGAGACAAACGCCTTAGTAACCAGCTTTTCAACTCATCATATATATTAACACATGCTCATCAGGTGTTAAGTAGAACAATTATTAATTCTCGAGAAATATAGATATATCCATAGAAATATAATTTCAATCATCCAAACCCTCACTATAGGGGGTTAACACACAAGTCACATAAGTCTATTCCTTACTATGAGGGATCAGTCAGACATATAGGTTTATCTATCACTCTAGGAGATGAATAAAAAGCCACAAAGGCCTATCTCTTACTATGGGGGATGAAGGAAGCCAACTACTATGCACTAATGGTGGCCTTACCACGTGGTAGAACAGAGCTCAATCCAAAAAAATCCAAATAACAACAAATCATTTACAATATAACGAAAAATGTCTCAGTCTTTTCTCAGTATAATTCATAAGATATAAATAATATATCTTTCTAAACTTCTCAATCATAATTCCAAAAATTTCACAAGACAATTTTCATATCTCAAAAGGTGTAACATATTTACTTGAGTTTCAAATAACATATCATTATTTTAAAATAACAAAATACTCACAAACAACATATTAGCACATATAACAAGTGGAAAGTGGTTATCTCTTGCCAAAGCAATAGAAAGGATTGTCAAGGTCAATCCTTTGCTTAACCAATAATTAATCTACACAATTAATATAACTACATATTAATATAAGCTAATTAATTAATTAAGCTTATATATATTAGTTAAATTTCTAATTTAATTTAATTTTTATTCTAAATTCCTGTAACTCTCATAACCCAAAATTAAGTATTTTAGAAATAACTTAAAATTTTCTAAGAAGCCAAATTATTTATTTATAACCTCAGAATTATTTACTTTAATAAAAAGGATTTTCAAAAATTTCTAAATATGAAATTTTTATATTCTAGATTCTAAAAATATCACTTGAAATTTAAACCTCAAAACCGAACTATCAAAAATTTAATAGTATCTCAAATATTTATAAATAAATAATCTACTCAAAATTTTAATGATATAAATATCTTATATATTTATTTTCATAAATAATAAAATTTTTAGCTAAAGTAATTATTTTAAAACCTCCAGTTACCCAATAAATAAAAGTAAACCGATTAAAATGTTAATAATATGTCAAACAATCAAAATAAATTATTTAACTTAAATTTAGAATACAAAGCCCATTATTTGCACCCAAGTACTACCATTGGTTCTTAATATAGGATGTAGTTCACTAATTTAAAAAGATTAAAAAATTAAATAAATATCTTTAAAGTATTATATTTATCATTTTTTACAAATTAATTTTCTTGACTTATATATACGAATATATAATCTAATAATGCATACAAATATTTTAAAGTGATCATATAATATATACTATAATTAAGTATTTATTTTACTTCTTTAATTTTTTCAAATTAGTGGGAATAAATGGAGAGAAATTTGATATTTAGTAGAATCCAAAAGAATAAAGTTAACTAACAGTTATGAAAGCAGATAAATTTTGTTATTTTTCCCTATTTTAAAAAGTTCATATATATATATATTTTTGTACATAAACAAATTTTATGGTGCGCAGTACCTCTTAATATGAATTTCGTTATTAAAAATACATCTTAAAATTGACTTTATGAGCCCCACTAACTGTATACTAATGGGCGTTAATGGCGTGGTACCAAAAATCTCTTTTTGACAATTTCATGTATATTTTTACATTTGAATAAACTTTATAATGTACAGTACTACTTAAAAAAATTTATTGTTAAAATTGTAATTCAACCATAAAAAACCAAGCGCACTTCAAGTGCTGAAGCCTGGCATCGAGATCTACTATTATGGTTTGTCATGTTTTGTGCAAGGAAAATTTTTAATGAGTTTCATTTCAAAAATTGAAGAAGTGAGGTTAAAACTTTTCAATTTATTATTATTATTATTATTCTTTTATTTTAAATCTTCTGTTTATTAAAATTTTAACATCCCATTTCTCTAATTGAATCATTAAATTTTTTTTCTCTACCCTATTTCTCTCATGCCAGACATACGGTAAGTGACTTCTTGAAGGCTTACTCTTTTGGTTTTATTTATAGGGACATTTTCAATAAATTAAGAAAAACTTTAAATTGTATTAATTCTTTCTTAAAATACAACACCTGACAATCTTACTCCTATTTAATATATGTACTTTTCAAAAATAACTATTCATATTTATATTATAATAAATGAATATTTTTGTTATAAGTTTACTGAAGGGAACCAATAAAAATCTTGTCCTACTGCCATATAATAACACCAGAGGAGTATAACGTAAAGGATGGATTGGAAGTAACAGAGCGCAATATCGTTTGGGAATTTCAACTTCTACAAAAATATATTATTTAGTGTTATTTATTTGGAAGCTTTTTCTGTTTGAACCCATTGGTGGAAGATCATAAAATGTATCTTTCACCAGCGTACATCAATAAATGTATAACCAATGCACATATAGAACTTAAAGTCTTACGGGTATGGAGAACACCCAACGAAGGACCAACCCAGCCCACAGATTGAACGATTGATTAATATAGTAAATACGATTTTGGCATTTTAGCCTTTCAAATTTTCTCAGTTCGAGACTATCATATTATTGCTGGAAAGCTAGTTTTAGTGCTTATCGCTTTGATAAGCATCTTAAATTTATTAGATCTAAGCTGTATATGTTTTATTTGAATTGTTCAAATTTAAAATCTTTAATTAGTTATTTTTAAATAGAAAAAACTATTTTTTTGAAAAAATGATAGTTAAGAGATTATTTCTATTTTAGATTTTATATATATTAAAATAATTATTTTAAATAAATAAAAATAAAAAAAGTTAAATTCAGATTATTTAAATAAGATATGGATGATTAATATCTAATGAGTTTAAGGTAGTGATCAAAATGACGAGTATGTCTATCTATTTAATTATTGGTGCACATCCGCTGTTTTCGACTGCCCCAACAAATCTCCGATTATTTATTCACTTCCCAATCGTCCAAGTGCACTCGACATCCTTCGAATTGCTTTATCATATCCTAAGAGAACCATCGTTATAAGTAAATGAACGTGTCACCCATGCGTTTTCCCTTATTTTACTCTTCAAACTTCAATTTTATTATTATTTCTACTTTCATTCTTGTCTCACAAGCAGCCATCTCATCTTTGATGAAAAATATATCTTCCAACTTTCAGCTGGACCCGGGTCTTCACTCTTGCCAACTTTTTTCCCCCTTTTGCTTACGTTCAACCCTGCTCACCCCAATTCATGCACACATAAACTTTCTACAAACACATACCAGTTCATTTTTATATGAATAAAAAAGTAAACAATGATCGTTCTGGACTTTTCCCCACCTCTTTCTCAGAGCTTATAGATTCTTTTCACATTAGCACTGCTTGGTCCTCTTTTTCTCTCTTGCTGTGTCTAAAATCTATATCTATATGTTGAACCATCTTTATTACATATTTTTTTAACATTTGTTGGTGATATATCATCATGTCAAAGCCCTTGTACTTCATTGCTGCTCTCTCCTTCTTCTACCTCAGTCACAGTATTGCCGAAGTATCTTCTTCTTCTTCAATATGTTCCCCTTCTGCTGGTTGCGGTAATGGAGTTTCCATTCAGTATGCCTTCTGGGTGAACAGCAATTCACCCTAAATAATTATGGAGAAGTTGTGGGGCCCTTTTTGTATTGGTTGGAGGGTTATGGACAAGTAATAAATAAGGATTTGGCACCATGGCATTGCATTGGCACGTGTAATGATGGGCAGGTGAGACACGTGTATGAGCACTTGTGAAATTGTTTCAGAGTCAAACGTGCCAACCAGTTAAGGCTGCCACGTGGTGACACCACATTTTGCAAACCGGCCCTGGCTCCTTTTTCCTTCACGAAAGGTAAGAATGGTCTCAAGTTTCAACTTTTCTACTATGTAAAATTTTATAATCATTTGTTAGGTTTTTTTTTAATTAAACATAGTCACATATGCTATTTTATTCATATAAATTTATAATCAAATTATTATATTTAAAAAACTAATACACATGATCATGATTGGAGAATTTAACATTTAGACTAT